CGAAAGGCTGGGAATCATAATAGTGTAAATCACTCTATGAGTGTTTGTTGTAAAATTATGTTTACGTTTGCTATTATCGCTTTCTTGTTCAAGTATGTACTGGAGTGAAACACTGTCATTTCTCGGTAATAAATGAAATTATATTATATATATAATATACTTGAAGGACGTTATTAATTTGATGTTAAATAAAATTTGGAATTACACTAGAATGATTTTCAACCCTTCATATATATATATATAGAGTTTATTTAAACTTTCTTTGTTTGTTTTATAGTTCATTTATATTCTTAATTCATTATAGTTCATTTTAGTTCATTTATAGTTCATTTACAATCTTAGTTCATTTTCTAATGTTCTATTTTTTTCAATTGCATCCTTAAAAATATAATACTCAAATAGAGAATAATACTCAAAGAGTAAACTGCGTAGTATACGTATATCTTTATATTTATTTTTGGGTATTATGATTGATCTCATCATGTAAAAGTTGTTCAGCGATGGAAAAACTTCTCTTCGGCGAGACGTTTGAATTTTTACAATTTTCGAGAAGAAAAGTATTCTTATTTTTACACTTGCTGCATGATGTAAAAATAAATATCTTTGAACGAAATAAACTCAGGATTGTTAAAGTAGAGACTCCGCTCTTTAAAATAAAATCAAGTTAATTATTCTACAAATTTTTTTGACGAAATCATAACAGTTTAAAGTATTGACAATTTTTTTTACCTAGTATACGAATATTTTCCTTTTTTAAGAATGTGTTTTTTAAGAATCTCATGAATTTTATGTATTTGATTCAGACCAGTTTTTTATTTTTTTATTCCAAATTAAATATGTAGTGAAATAGGTAATACATTTCCTACGATTCTCGAACCTCGAATCGATATTTTTCATGATCGATTTTTAAGCAGGAGAGCAGACCTTTAATGGCGGAAAGAAGCACACCTCGGAAGGAAGTGTTATCCTGGAACATTATCCAGAAAGAAGTGTCAATCAAAAGTTCTCAGGTAAAAATTTATATCAATAGCTATTAGATTTGTATTTTTGTTGTGAATTTTTAAATTATAACTTGCATTTTATAAAAATATTTGATAATTGATTTAACCATAATTTAACCCTTTAATCTTAAAGTAAGATTTAACCAAATAATTATCAGAAATAATAACATATAAACATTTAAACAGAACATACCATGCTAAAAGTTATTTCTAATTTTAAATATAAATTATAAACCTAACCTAACCAAAATTTAATTTCAATTTTACAAACAGTACAAATATTGTGACCTTGTAATATGTATAATATGCTTTTATTTTTATTGCAACATTTTCTATTTATTTGTTGATCTTTTAACTTCATATACTACGTAATTCTTAACTAACGTAAATTCAATAATTTATTAGGAATGTACGTGTTTAATATTTAAAATAGTAATTTTACCATGTAATATCATAAAATTTCTCATGTTTCAGTATAAAGTATTGAGAATTTTTCATCAGGTGTGCGAATATTTTCGTTCTTTTTCTTATGAATTTTGTGTATTTGAGTCAGATCAGAGTTTTTTATTTTTTATTCCAATATTTCATGTGAAATGCGCGCGTATTGGGGTTAAGTTAGTTGAAGATTACAGCGCCACTACGCGGTGAAATAAGCAATACACTTCCTACGATTCTCGGACGTAATCGATATTTCTCATGATCGATTTCTAAACGGCGGAGCAGACCTTTAATGGCGGACTCATCTGTATAAAAGGAAGTGTGATTCAAAAAATTCATCCAGAAAGAAGTGTCATTCAGAAGTTTTCAGGTAAAAATTTAAATCAATAGCTATTAGATTTGTGTTTGTGTTGTGAATTTTTAAATTGAAACATACATTTTCAATTAAAATTTGAATTAAAACTTACAGCTTCAATTCATCGAGATTTGGCAGATTATCGAAAAAGTGTATAATTTTTAATCCCATTAAAGTGAGTAACCAAATAATTATTTTCAACAATTAAAGAAATACTGGCGTATAAACATTTATATAGAACATATTATGCTAAAAGTTATTTATAATTTTATATCAATATTTAATTTCAATTCTAACCAATAAAAATATAACCTTGCAATTGACTAACTCATTGTTATATATTATATATTATATATTTTTACACGTACACCTCTATTATTTGTTGATACTTTAACTTCATACTGCATAATTCTTAACAATTCTAATAATTGTATTAACAATAATTTGTTAAGAATATACGTATTGGTTAAAATAATAATTTTACTGCGTAATATAATGAAATTGTTCAGTTCTCAAATAAAGTAAAACGTAGAAGGCCTTGAGGCTCGAAATTCGAAGTAGAAAACAACAACATGAACACAATGTTTATGTTCGTCTTAATTATCGTGCCTGTTCGGACAGAATTACCCCGTCCCCTACTATTTCCTCAACTGAAGGACGATACGTGTCGCGGGGAGTCATTTAGCTGTGGAATTTCGTGACAACAACACGTATTACGTCGCATTAGGTTCGTAACTTTTTCTAACCTATCGGTGGTGTCCCTTCGTCGTTTCTTCGACACTTTTACTTTCATTTATATCTCATTAGTAGTGTCATTTAATTAATACGCGTGTATTGAATGATTAATTAGCATTACGACAACGAAATCGTGTAGTACTTTGAAACTTTTCGCATTAATTTTTCTTCAATCGTCAATTACACTTGTAATGGTACGGTTACCGATAGTTTGTCTCGTACGCTTTTTTTAATAGAATTTGTAGTTGATTATTTTTACATATTTGCCTTCATTTGGTCTGACTTTTGATTTCTTTCTGTACAGGTTCTTCCTTGATTCTAAAGATAGCATAGAGTGCATGGACGCTAGGATCATTAATGTATAATCTGATGAACATGGACGCTAGGATCATTAATGTATAATCTGATTTTATGGAAAATTGACAACATTTTATTTTGGAAAATATTTGGTATACAATTTATATTTATTTATATTTGATGTACAATTCAGAATACGTATTTTCATGATTATTTGCGATAAAGGGATGAAAATAGAAAAGATTAAATCAATTAATGTTTTATTGCGAATATAGAGATCATAGTATCTCAATAGTATTTATTTTTAAATGGATATACATTAGATTATTCAATTCAAACTTTTTGTACTTCATTATACAATATATTTACTTTTTCCGATCACCAACACGCAATACATATTCAAGTTTCATTATTTTCATGCATTCATTACTTTCAGAAAATTTCTGTGACCGCGTGCAATGCGGTCGGTAAAGCCAGTGTTTGTTGCGTAGTATTTTAATTCTTGTGTGATTTAAATAAAATTATTAATTCATTTAAATTTATTTCGCGAAGTTAGAGCCAGTGAGTTCGCCGATTGTTAAACACGTGCGTTGATAGTCTTTTATTTTTCTCTTTTTGTACTTCTTCTTGTTCAATACTCGTTTTCGGAATTAGAGTCAGTGCTCAAGAGGATAAAATCTCTTCAGGAGATCAAGATCGTAAGTAGTTTTATATATTGTACTTTAATTTATTCAATTTTTCAAATTTAATAACAAAGTATAATGTTTGACGTTTTACAGACGCTTCATATCAGCAACAATTTTTTTGTAGCTTTTGGGGAAAATCCAACGTTAACTCTAAAGCAGAAAATGTAAGAATCTTTCATTATCTTCAACTTAAGATTTTGCTTTGCTTCTAAATACGAATTCTAATGTTTAATGTTTTGTTACAGATCTTCTGCAGTTCGTCACTTCCCCTAATGCTCCAAAAATCTTATGATGCTTCAGAAGCTAAGAATGTAAGTATTTTAGCATATTGTACTTGAAATAATTCTATTCTCTATAGTTCTCTTTCTCTGTTAAAGTCGAATGTATTATAATTATAAAATAAAAATATTTCAAATTATTAGTAATAATAATTTTTATCATTATTAAACTTTAAATTTTCACAAATAACACTGTGTCTTTAGAAATAATATGTTTTATGTTTCTTAAGAAATTTTTCACGGCGTTCACTTCACCCATGGGATTCTCAGTGGTATCTACTTGATGAGGATCTTCACGACAACTTTTCCTGGTCCAGTGCAGCATTGATGATAACGTTCTCCATATCTATCGCGTGAGTCGCATGCATTTATGTTCCTCCGATCACTCAAGCATGTCGTAGGACGAAAGGTCCAAATCGGCACGGGTGACTGGTTGTATACGTAGAATTTTTGATGAGCATAGTGACCGCGGGTATTTTTTGTACCCACGAGTAGTAACATCTTTTTATGTATTAGATCAGGATAGGGCTTCTTGCACATCGCGATTTTAACAATGAAATTTTTTAGTAATTACTTATAAAATCAAAATATCTTCAATACAAATGTTTGCAAAGGTAAAATATATGAATATCTATATGAATAGATAAATTATAAATACTTATAAATAATTATTATTAAAATGATTTCGTTTGAGCATTACATAGTAGAGTAGACGGATAGCCTCTGACTTCATTGCTATGAAAAATGGTTATTACTTATTGATATTGATGATATTTTGTTATAATAATTAATAATTAATCATTTTCAATTTCATCTATCCTTTTATAGTATTATATAATTATACATAGTTATGAACTTCTATAGAATTTGAAATATAACAGATTAGAATTTTTTCCGCAAAAAAAAAAAAAAAATGTATGAAATGTTATGTGCAAGAAGATACTTCGCGACAGGTAGATTTTTTAATCAAGGCAATAAGTTTGAATACTGCTTTCGTATTTTCGAAAATGTGCTTTGATGAAGAAATCGCCTGAGGTTATTTCTATTAATATTTAATTTAGAGTCAATTGTTTGATTTTGATTGTTTGAGTCAATTATTAGATTTCATAGTATCTTGTTTAATAAATTCAGTTCTTGTCCATTGCAATTTCAACAATTTTTGAAAGAATAGAGTCATTATAGTTTGAAATAAAATAATGCAATAGTCCGTTAGACACAAATTACATAAACTAATCATTTTTTAAATTCAGGATTTTCAGGTTTAACCCTTTCCGTGTTCATTGTCAGGATCTCACTCACGTGCCCAGGTGCTACCTGGGTGGGTGAAAGACATTGGGCACGATGACTATAGTTTGTAACTTTATAAAAAATTTCTCAGCGACTGACAATGTGTTAGCGTACCGTGCACGACGTATTTCCACATGTGTGTTGTGTGGTTAGGATGTGGAATTGCGTCGTTTCCATTGTTCCATTCATTATAAGTTGAAACATATATAATATTTATGCACTAATCTAAAGAATTATGTCATAATACGTAACAAATACGTATAAGAGGTTATACTCAAATATTATTATTATTATTATTATTATAACTATATTATTAATTATAATAATGATGCTAAGTCAATTTGCACATGTAATTTCTATAAAAATTATACGTATCTTTTCTCAGTTATTAATATCTTACAAAATTGTAAATATAAACGTGCTTGAATCACGTTTTACGCAATAGTCGCTAGCCATTGTTAGTCGATTTCAGGAAAATGGTACGTAAATTAGAGTGTGAAAGTTGTGTGTTAAGCTCGGGTGTCGGAGGCGTCCCGGGACGTCCTCTCTAGTTTAGGTCTNCTGCGCCCGAGTAGTATGTGTGAGAACCGTGGAGTGAGTGTGTTGGTGTGCCTGTTTTGCCATTTTTTAAATATAGGGCCCCTGGATAGGATAGGTAGCTTACTTTCTGGTATGCCTGTGTTTAATTATAAGTAGGTAGGGCCGGGCAGGTTGGCACAGTCTCTGATCGCGTGTCCCCTTTTCGCGTGTCCAACCTGTTTCAGGAAATCTAATTTGAAAGATCGACATTGAAATTGGTACAAATGGAGCATGCCACTTGTTTCTGGTTTTACTCTTCGATTTTTCGAATTTAGTATCGCGGTCGTGGTCGTGGATAGGTCGCGAGTAGGTCCCGAAACGATCGTTTATGTAGGTATTGCTCGAGCACGCACGTGCGAACGGACAACGATCACTATGATCGATGGTCGTCCATGTGTATTGAGGTCAGCTTTCGCGATTTATATGTTATTTTTTATTTTGCGATTAGAAAGACTCGAGCTAGATCTAAGTTTCAGCGGGCATTGCGCTCGAAGAAAAGAAGAGGCTAAAAGCCGAAGAGGCCCGGCAAACTGCCACGAAGAGGGTCACAACAAATGGCTTCTCATTCTCTGGATCATTCAAATGACTGCAGAGTATGGGAGGTCATTCTTGTTACTACTTTGTCACTATGCTCTTTTTAGTATTTGTAGTTGTAGTTTATTGTCTTCTCCATCATCGTTCATCTTCGTTTTGGGCAAATCGCGTTTTTTCTTGTTAGTGTTGCGAGAAATTGATTACAGTTTAAATTAGTGTTGCGAAAAAATGATAATCGTATTTGTTTGCGACTTATGATTTCGCGATTGTGATTTTTTAAAGTTGTCTCAAAGTTATACAGAATAAAATTTATCTTGCTTCCTATTGTTTTCAATTCAATTATAGAGTTATTGCTTTTAATTAATTTTACAGTGCTAGAGTATTTGAAATAGCTTTCCGTTCGTACAGTTTTGTATTGTTAATAATAATTTTCATTGAATTTAACTTTAGAGTTAGCGAATTTTACTTTTACTCTTAGTGTTGCGATAATGAATGATCGCGTATCTTGATGTAGCGTTTATAAAATGCCTAAATTCTTCCACTGAATTCGTGGAAGGCTATTCCAGCTCCTGGATCACCTGATGCAGCTACAAGAGCTGTACAAAAGTGGTCATTCATCAGCAATCTCCAGCATGATTGCACTGGACGGGTCGCAATTAGTGTTGCGCATTTTTAAACATGAGTGCATAGATTAACAACGTCGCATATTTATTTTCGGGAGTTTTAAACATGACAAAGCACTCTTCGCGTTGGATTTTGAAAATTTCCTATTTCACAATTAGTGAATTAGCGTTGCGAAACAAGATACTCGGGTTCGTAACATAGATAATACAGTGGCCCTTCTGGCTGTTCATTTACTTTTTCTTTCGAAATGTCGCGACTGTTTTAGTGGTGTGGAATATTTGTGTCAAGTTTTTTTAAACTACTAATCCAACAAATAAGTTTGTTACAGATTTATCAACTTCCAAATGCATGGATGAAAGATGGAATAACATGGATCATGGAACTTGGAGAAAATGATGCCTGGGTCCTGTCTAATGGTAATTAAATATATCTTGTTAAATTCATTTCACAAATCTTTTTGACATCATCAAAAGAAGGTTGCACGTAGAATACATTAAATATAGAAAATTCTATATGAAATATCCAAAACATACTGCTCGTTACAAAAGTTAATGACTGAGGCTAGAAAGTTAATGAGAATAATATATAATTTTGATAACTATATATCTGGATAACTAATTTGTAAGCGTATGGAATATATTTCGAATTACGAATTTGTATATTTTTCGAACAAAAGTATTTTAGAAAGTTTAGGATTAATTGTTTCTTCTGCAATGATTATATCTGTAAATAAGAGTTGTTCTTTCTTCTCTTTAATTTTTCGCATGTTATAAAATTTATTTAAGCTGATAGGTTCTTTAGAATTTTATTAATAACTATAGAATTTTAATTTACTATACGAAAAGAAACCATTGTAATACCGTAAATCATGGATAGAGGTCTTTTTGATATATAATGGTTTCAGTTAGTTAATAGCTTCACATTTCGGTATTTGACAGCACTGCAACGGATATCAAAAATCTTATTTCTGACGCATTCGTTACTTGATTAAATTCGATCGTTTTACATGATGTAGTTCCCCAGTTCATCGTTGTTTAAGTGTAGAGTGCCAAAACCACTGATTTTCAGATTACGAAATTCCATAAGATGCTTGGTTTATTCATACACCTCGTCTGTGCTTTGACCGTTTCGCGGCTACTTAATACACAGTATAGAAAAGGAAAGAATATGTCGAGGCGAAATTTTTACAAGAAAGAAGACAAGGTTCGCATTGCTTTCGTTTTCAGTGGCGTTTACGCGTAGGTACATGTACCTACTTGCAACGCTGTTAACATATGGCGCGTAATGTTGTTCGCCACATGGTAACGCTCATAAGCACGGCGATTTTAAGTAATGACTAAATACAGTGTTCGAACTGTTCCTGCCATTGCCAGTTTATTTCTCGGCTACCTGTCAGAAATTATACGGTCATTCTCGCTGATTGGCCGAACGTATGTAAGAAACGGGCGTAATCGAAGCGCTGGAATTCGTTTCTGAGGTTAACCCCCTGGCCGCACTGGGACTTCCATCCTTGGCGAGCGTCTGCGCCGAGAACACCTCGGTTTAATTGGAATTTGCACGAGATCCGCATACCGATTTGTCCTTTTAGTTTTCGTTCGAGAATAATCGTAAAAATTAAAAAAAAAGAAAAAAAAAAGATAGAACAGTTTAATAAAAATTTTAATCAGTCCAGAATTAAAATGTCTAAAACTTCGATTTTTGCCAATTCTAACGTGATTAGAGAAAGAAATTTTGTAAAAAATTTTCGAAATAATTCTATGTATATATATATATATTTTTTTTTTAATATAATAGTTATATACTTTTATGAATTTTTTTTAAAGCGTAATAGTCATGCGCTTTTATTTATTTAACACACTCGAGACCAAAACAACAAATTTTGAAGCGATCGTGTTCAAAGACCGACGATGTTCTTCCACTTATATTAGACTCGACGGCTGATTCACATCCAATTTGGAAATTTCTCGTTGTCATTGGAGAAAAAACGGACGCGCTTCGTTTCGTTCGTAGCCATTACTACTTAGCTGGGTTACCTGCAGATGTAATTGCAAGGTACTTGGTATTTTTATCGTCTCCACAGTCACTTTAACCAAACGAACACTCTTCGTTATTGTTGTCTGGTGTTCTCGCCTTTATGGCGAAAAAAAGGAACGGCGGGTAGGCACGGGAACTTTTAAGAATTCCAAATGGGAATGGATAAAGGGCAATATACCCATATATACGAGGTGGTTGCGTGCTTTTCATCGTCCGCGCTGTCAATTGGCTGTAGCTAGTTGAAAACAAGCTAAATTCTGTCAGCAGACGTAACGTTTTTCGCAGTTTTCAAATTGCATCGTTCGGATTTCGAATTTCTGCGAGGAACATCGATTTTTTTTTTTTATTATTATTGCTTCTCGTATGCTCCGAACTTGGTTTAAAATTGTTGTACTTTTACGTTACCAATCATGTATAGCCGTAACAGTAATCTCTCGCGTACGTGAAATTTCTTCCAAGAAGAATTTTTCAAAATCGTAATCGTAGGTAACCGAGTATCTTTATCATCACACAATGGATTTCTCGTCAAATAAATTCCCCTTTCACTTTCATAATTTAGACATATCGCGCTATCAAGACTGACTAAGAGCACTCTGGCTGTGACATAGCATTTGTGCTCGCTATACAATGGCAATACAATTCTAACAATTCTAACGGGTGTTCTTTTAACTTATCGTAGCGCACCGTGTGCGTACAGTTGGTTATTGAGAAGCGACTGACGCCTTTGGAAATGTGCATTTTATTTGTCTCGGGGGGATGAAGGGGAGGGGCGATAGGATCTTTCTTTCTTTCGCTAGATTAGACTGCATTGTAGAGAAGGCACCCGGATTCTTCATTGATCGTATCAATCAGAACGTATAGAATACACGAGAAACGATTCACATTGCGTGTTCCCTTCTTGTCGTACGGAAAGAATCGGACGGACGAGATAAATTTCAATTCATAATTTCCTCAAAGGTTCTTTGAGAAGTCTTTATCCTGATAAATTGTGACAAGTCACTCTGCTAGATCTTATCTGTAAATATCCCAAATAACTGTGCCCTCGTACCTTTGTACCTATTCAGTTAGCCTTATTCACTTATTGTCAGCTTTATCGAGGGATAAGCAATAGTTTATTATGATGTTAAAAGTATCTAATTTTGTTCAATTTTCATGCAACTGTAAAGTTTGTCTAAAGTGTGAAAGATAGTTGGAATCTTGTTTCATAACTGTAACGTAGTCAAAGTTTGCAGTTGATGTTACGTGAAATTAATTTGAGAAAGAATGAAATTTGTTACCAAATTTGATTTTCTGGTGAAAATATAATTATATTAAAAATATAAAATTTATTATTCGTTTTCAAAGGTAAAGACCAACTTTCGATTTTAATATTTTCTTTCAGTTCTTTCAACTTACTGTAGTTTAAGATTCAATTATTTCCTTTCGATTTCAAGTGGTTGTAAATGTAAAATTTTAATAGGAACGCT